TGTGTTGTTTCAGTTTATTTATCAAAAACATCCTAGTAACGTAATTCCTATCTAAATTATTACGTCGAATTAATCTGCTAATGGACGGTAGCCAATTTTGGAATATTTTTAAGGTGTGGTGTAAACCAAATATTGTCAACAAATTTTACATTGTGAACTTAGCCTTATTATAACTGAAATGAAGAAAACTGCTGTTTTAAGTTGTTTTTTTTCCATTACAAAAGAGTAACCAATAAGTGTGAAAGTATTATGTCACGGATATTTTATATGAGCCAGAACATGATTCAGTGTTTTGTAATTGGACACTACTTTGTTATAAGTATTTCTTCAAGTATGAGTTCATAAATTACAGTCTTACACAGCAGGTTCACGAATGACAATCTTTGGGACATTATTTTCTTGTAAAATATCTGCTAATGTTGAATTAGAAAATAAGAGCCAACTCAAGAAAAAGGATGAAAAACGGCAACAACAGCATACTACTTTATGATTATAAGTAGTCTAACATTTATCCTAAATTTAAACATTATTTTTGGCGATTAGATAGGTGGTTTTTATTTGAATCATGAGGGTTGTGAACGAATCAGTAAATAAAATATTGGATGTACAGTTTACAAAAGCGAAGTTAAACATATTGACCCATAAGTTATGTGCTCTAGAATTGTGTAATCTGTGCGTGAAGACACATAGGTTAGCATACAAACCACCATTAAAGACTGGATTTTATATTGTGTCAATACATGATTATTCTGTCCCTACAGTCTGGTTCTCCATTGTCGATTGGATAACTTGTATCTGTATATCACACAGTTCAGCATAATGATCTAATTATTTAGTATATCGATCACATGATCATTTATATAATTCAGTTCAGTGTTTAGTGGATCAAAACGTATTATCTATTTAATAATTGAATTCATGAGTCAGTTGAAGCTAGACCATCATGGAAAACCTGGAAGCACTGATAGGTCCTGGGTTTGAATCTCGCGAGGTGGAATCGTGGATGTGCACTGCTGAGAAGTTCCATACTAGGATGAAACGGCTGTTCAGTGCTTCCAGGTTTTCGATGATACCCTAGCTTCAATTGACTCATGAATTCAATTATCAAATTACTACAATCTCCACAAAACCCCTCTGATTATTATCTATTATTCAGTAAATGGACACGAATGATCTTGATTTTTCACTTCCAAAAGGAATAGTATTTTCAACAATGTAGATTGTTAGGTCATAGTCGAAATTATAAAGGCGAAAAAAAAGTAGGCCATGTTTGTCAAAACGAGCTGATTACTAATAGTGGTTTAAAGCTATAGGAATGTAGTTATTCGTGTTCGATATATTACTAGGAATACTTATAAACATACTATGTAGTACTGCATATTTATGACATTGATTCTACATTTTTAAGTAACTTGGCTGGTTTGGTAGAATGTATGTCACAACAGCTGAATAATCAGATTCATGCTTCTATTTATTTATCGATATGTATTGATCAGCGAAATAAAATTGCTTTGTCTACATATATACATAGGTTGTTCTTAGTATTATAACAACGTTATTTTCTGTGATTTATTTATCTTCAACTACATGAAGATTTACTTACTTACACCTGTTACTCCCCCCCAATGGAGCATAGGCCACCAACCAGCATAATTACATGAAGAGATAAGTGAGATTTCATCACATTATAGGGATCAATTGAAAATAAAAACCATCGAAACATTCTACAATCTATAGAGAATAATGTGGTGATTCTAATCCATTCCCTCAATTAATTATTGATCGCTTTAATAAAATGTCTTCTATAGTGAACTTAAGAATTAAAGACAGACAAATACTCTTCTTTAGTTTACCATAAATTCTAGAGAGAGAAATCAGTTAAATATACTTATACTTTGGTAGTTTTCAACAGTTTAATTGATGGTCTAGCTTCAACTGACTCATGATCTTAATCAGTGAAGGTCCTAATTCACTTCAGCAAAATATCCAGTGTTTTCCGTTCATATTACTGTTCACTTACTAACTAATTAGTAATTAATCTTTTATCTGTATTTAGAATCTAACCTTGAATACTTTAATGCAGAAAATTTCCTAAACTGAATATAGTTAAGTCAGTAACGTAGATAAAACTTTTGATCGTTAGTAAATAAGTGGTTGAAAATTTCACCTTATTTAGTTGTGCTAACAAGTGAAATGGACAAGTCGATGGAAACAACTGAGTAGAGTTACTAATCAGTCTTACAAATATAAGAGATTAAAGGTAGAAATACTTTGAAATCAACATAATTTCTGTTCTTAATTCTTTAGAATTTGTAGCCGACTCATTCCATATAACTTTAAACGTTTTATTCCATTCTTGCTAGTTGTAACTTCACGTAAAGCCTCTCTGGATCTACTGTCGTTCGTAAGCCCATATAAAGAAGGAGGTTTAACAACTCTACCTCGTAAAAATGAGCCACTCTACCAGATCGCTAATCATGGAAAACCAGTAACACTTTGTTCTGGGGGTTGACGGGTTTCGATGTAGAGGAATTGTGACGCTACATGCTGAGAGCCAAGGGTCTCTGGATATCATTAGGCTTAAGAATCATTTGGGAATTAAGGTAACAGTAGAAATATGAAAATCGGATACCCGAACAATTTTGATGACAAGGAAAATCACTAAAATAGCCGCTAAAATGAGAAGCTACAACCTGAATCTATTTAGAATAAGTAAAACCGATTGGAACCAATCTGAACATGAGGAATTAATTTTAAGAAAGATGATCTTGTGTTGTGGTTGAAAAGCAGAAAATATCACACCTACGCAGAGAATCGCACCGGTAAGGTTCAGAGAAGCACAGCGTGCGCTTAAAGGATGGGAATCTTATGGCTCTTACATCATCAAAGCATCTTTCAAAACAAAGGGGGAAAATAGCAAAGAATGCCATTCAGTTCTGCTCACTCACCAACGATAGCTTTAAAGAGGATAAAAATTAGTTTTATGAGAGGGTGTGGTCCATCTTAGAGGAATAACACGAAGAATACCTGACCACCTTAACCAAGGATTTTAATCCAAGGGTCGGTAAAGACATCATAGGGTATGAAGACATCATGGAGTGACATGGGCTGGGAGAAGGGAATGAGAATAGTCAGAGCCTTACAAATTCGTGTGCTTTTAATAACATGGTTATAGTTGACACTGTTTGCCTCGCAAATGCGTGGGTAAAGCTATTAAGATTTCGCCGGGCCATATTACGAAGAACCAGATCGGTCACATATACATCAAGAAAAACACTCAGAACTATGGAAAACCTAAGAACAAAGAAGAGAGCTGATTTAGACACAGATCACCGACTGGTGGTAGCCACGACAAAACCAAAGCTAAAGAAGCACTGAAAAGTTTGGAAATCAGCATTGTAAAAGTTTACCACAGAATCCCTTCTAGGTGCTAACAGACTTAGAAAGTGTAGCATAGCTGATTTCAGTAAACAAGTCTCAAGTCTTACAAGATTTACAAAAAGAAGAGGGAATCACTAAGAGCAACTGGAAACGAATTAAGGAAGAGGTAACTAAAACATACTAAAAGGTCATGGACCCTGAGTAACACCAGCATAAAGAACATATCTCTATAGTAAGCTTGGGAAAGACACAAGAAAGAGGAAACAAGAAGATAGTAGTCAACAACAGATAAATAAAAGCAGAAAAAGTCAAAACATGAGCTGGATATACCAAAACAAACAAGAGAGTGAATAAGTTATGGTGTCGGGAATTAAAAGCAGACATCAAGAGGATGAACAGCATTTGGGAACAATTGGAAGGGAAATCCCAGGTTTTAGTTCGTTAGAGATCTCTATCTAGTCGAAGACTTATGCCCCATAAAGGGTAGAAGGCTTAGTTAAGAGGGTAAGTTGTCAATTATACATTTTAATTTGTTTGTCCGTCTTCTAATTGATCGAAAATTTTCCAAATACTTCCTTTAAGTTTGGTACCTTAAACGCTCATCTCTATTTAATCTGTTGCTACAATATATCCAAAATATAATTGTTATAACTTGACCGCTGATTAGAGAGCAGTGACTTATCGATCGAATCAATGACTCATAAAACCGTATGAGCAGTCTAGAGTTCTGATTGGCCCTGCTTCCTGTCTAGCCCAGCCAGTTAAGTTCAAAACGCAAGTCTCGGCCTCTGAGATATGAATCATTATATTTCAAGCATACTGAGTTTATATACCAATCAAACCGACCACAACGTACCAATAAAATATGAAACAACATTTGTACAAGAATTAGTCAGATGTGGCTGTAAACGAGGGAGGTTGCGATTAACAGACAAGGAATAGTTCATGAATGGTAAATCGTATAATAATAGTTCATAAGTCAAAATAAAGCTCATAATAAGAGGGACATGAACAGCTTAGTTACATAACAATTATACGATAAAAATATACTCATAATATCGGTTCATAAATGGATCCCAAAAACTACCATTCATTATTCTTATCGGGATACAACAATAATCTTCTATGAATAATATTGAGTGATTTATCTACGTTATTAGCAAAAGAAAATATATGAAATGATGTTTGAATTCAGATCTTAAAAATCTCCAGATCAAAATCATCGATCCATATCATATATCATTTAACATGATTTATTAGCATATATTTCAACAAATTAATTGATGATACATACATGAAGCCAAATAGTGTATATGAGAAAAATGAATAGGATTATTTTTAAATATTTGTCCTTTAATTTGGACACTAAAACTTATTCATGTTCCACTTTTTTTTTTCTCAGGTAACTTTAAAGTTATACATTAGATCATAGTTCTAAAAATCGGATCATGATCTGAAAAAAAAATTTTTTTTATTGTTGTTGTTTGAAATTTATAATTAAATCTTGATAATACACACACACACACACACACACTTGGTTTACACTTGAAGTATGATCAAAAATCACAAAGAAACAATCATCAAATATGTATATATATATACTATGACATCATTCACTTATTGTCATTTTAATGATGTTTTATTTTATATTTTTACTATTATTGAACATTGTCTGTAACTATGAAGTAAATGCTTTGGAGAATGAACATATTGAACCGGTGTTTGAAAAATTGATTGAATATGTGAATCAAAATGTAGGTAATTTGTGAACTATGCTTTATTTTCAGAGAAGGGTTTTTGTGGATATTATAGTAATTTAATAGTTGAATTCATGAGTCAATTGAAGCTAGGGTATCATCGAAAACCTGGAAGCACTGAACAGCCGTTTCATCCTAGTATGGAACTTCTCAGCAGTGCACATCCACGATTCCACTTCGCGAGATTTGAACCCAGGACCTATTAATGTGGCGGAGGGCGAGATCGTGGATGCGCACTGCTGAGGACGTAACGGCCGTCCAGCCCTTCCAGGTTTTCCATGATGGTCTAGCTTCAATTGACTCATGATCTTAACCATTGAGATTACCATTTACTAAACAACTGTTTACAACCATACATTTTATAGATAAGACCATAATCGGCGAGACTATAATTTATGGACGTACTAATCAGGTATAAGGTAACAGGTTTCGGATTTTGGCACGAAATTCACTCATCCATTTATCTAAATAGAGTTCTAACATTTTAGCTGATGTTAGTTCGTGACGAAAACCTTAAATCTAATTCCTAACCTTAACCATCAACTGTTAATCACAATTCTTATCCTTCACACTGGTTTAAAATCATTATTTAGCCCTCGTCAGTAGGTGGACATTCTCAAGGCCACTTTAGCGTCCCTCAAAGGTCGTCCATAAATCATAGTCTCGCCCCAAAATCTCGAATATCATCTTATCCATCATTCTAATTCTTTTTTTTTAGCCAGGCTTTGGATGGAAAGCAGGAATTAATAGTCGTTTCAGAAACTTAAAAGATACTCAAAAATTGTTTAGAAATAACATTAAAATTAAAGATTCAGGTGGAAAACAAATTCAAACAATTTCCCATAGAAATGTGGATATGGTTATACCTCATTCATTTGATGCAAGAGACCATTGGGTAAACTGTCCAACTATCAAACATATTCATGATGAATGTTGCTGCAGAGCAGATTGGGTAAGTCTGAAAAGTATCTCAGTTTTCTTTATATAAACGCTTATGAATAAAGTGTGCATTTATCAGTGTGGAAGTTTAATCATCAGTAAACTTTGAAGAAGGACAAATCTTGATATGACCATGACAAATATAAAACTTTGGTTCAGTAGTAAACCATGCAAACTGTCGGTTTAAGGACAACGTCGCCTAAACAAGCTGCGTACAGTTTTACCTCTTTATACACCACATAATCCATTTTTCGTTAAATTAAAATCTTTGTAGTGGGCTATGAGTAGAGTAGTTAGATTTGGCTAGAACGCTTCTTTGCTTCTAATCGACTTACCATTTCTCCTCAACGGTTTAAAATGGTGTAGGATTTATTTTATCTAAAGAGATCTTTTTCAAACACGTTCTATAATACTGTTTAACAGCAGAGCCTGGACTTAACAACTGCTATCGGATCAGGTAAAAATTGACCAGTAATATATTACCTGTTTCTGGAATATAAATTACTATAATTAGTATAAAACTATGGAGTGAATATAGTTGTGAAAAATTGTTTCAATTCTTTATTGTTTTAATCATAACTAGTACGCTTACCGTCACACTGTCAATTCGTACATTTTACTCATTATGTTTAGTTATGTAATCTATTTCATTTTTGTTCACTAACTCATAATCTACCTTGATCGATTTATTGGTATCATATATGCACATAAATATTATTGTATATCAGAGTAACGTCTGATGGGTACAATTTTTATTGATTGGTAATTAACTAAAGATGGATCACATCAAGATCAGAGTGATGGGCATTTAGACAGATGTTATTGATCAATTTATTTATGAACTATAGCCAACAAATGGGGTGTTTGTTTAGAGGATGTGAGATTCCATTTTGAATGAATTGTTACCATAAATATTGATTGATTAGTACTGTTTTTCAAAAGATAAAAAACCAAAGATATTTTACCTAGTAAATTTATTATAGAATAACTAAGTAAACTGTTTCATTTAGTGGAACTTTGATGTTTTCATGGTTACAATGGAATCTGTAACAAGATTGTAACTACTGTCCATTAGTATTTATATATTGGTCTCAGAAATTTCCTATTATTTATTTAAATACTTTGAGGTGATCTATCATTAGATATTTGATCTTACAACAAAGTCGGTAATTAAAAGTAAGGAGGAAACTATGTCCTTTATTTCTCTGGCAAAAGGACATACGATAAGGAACTGAAATAAGTATTATGAATTTATCTGAATCTTCACTGGTTGAAATCATGAGTCAATTGAAGCTAGATCACCATGGAAAACCTGGAATCACTGGACGGCCGTTTCATCCTAGTATGGGACTTCTTAGCAGTACGCATCCACGACCCCGCCCCCCGCGAGATTCGAACCCAGGACCCATCAGTCTCGCGCCAGGCGCTTAACCAACTAGACCCGTCAGCCGGCATCCAACGGTGTTAATGTCTAACTTCAACCAATCCATGAAGTTGCGCCACCGTACACTATTGTCTCCAGTGAGTTCCTATCTCACAACAGACCTGGTTGAACTCCACTGGTAACGGCCTCTCATTAGAACCCTGAATCTCTTGTTAGTTTTACTGTTTCATTTGTATAATCAATTAATTCAGTAGATTTTTTCCCGAATATTTTTTTGACTTCTATCTATTTTATTAAAATATTTTCTCAGTAACTAAACTGGGAATTTTTTGGTTTTGTTTAAAGTAATTTCTTTCCATAATTCACATTCATATTACTTTATTTGTCAAGTGATAAGTGGAGATTTATAATACTTTCTTTGAAGACTTTCTCATTAAAGCTAGTCAACGATTACTGAACAAATATTTCGATTCGGTCCAAGACTCTTCTGATATGCAAATCAATATTTCTCATACCAACGTACTCAGGATCGTCATGTTTCAGTGTGAATAAGATAACATTCGGTTAGTTAGTTATACTATGACAGTTCACTTTTTCCTAAGTTCAATCTGTGACAAAACTACATCGACGAAACAGCTTGTTCTTATTAAGAGGCTGATACATAATATTGTATGCACGAAAGACAACTCCAAAAAGCTCTTGAAAAAGTTAGGTCTGAAAAGTTGTTCACCTTATACCATAGCAGGATGTAATTGGATAAATTAAGCTTAAAGAAACTACAATTGTTTAGTATTTATTGATGAAATTTGTGGTCAGATACAACTATTTAATTGTCCGGTTTTTCATATTAAGAGAAGAATATAATAAGCTTGTCGAAACGCTCAACCACACAACTGAAATGCACATGAAATCCAAGTTCAAAACAAAGATTCATTGAGAGAACGGTTTAACATTGAAAAATATATGTGAATTACGTCCAAATATCTACTTTCAAGTATTCTGTTTCAGTTAATTTGTCTGTATATATGGAAGAGAACATTAGGATTAATTACAAATTATGATAGAGTAAATGACATCTGGTGGCTGTGTCTAACATCAATAATGACTATCGACAAATGGAGACAAACGGCACACAAACATGGAAGCTGTTAGGTTTAAAAAACCGCAAGTACTTGCAGTAAGTGTTGAGAGGATATGTGACTGTTACTAGTTTATATAAATACTCAGGACTATTACACGATCATATGTTCTCAAAGGTTATTAGAATTAAAACTAGTTACTGAATTTTGGCAACTAGTATAGAGTAATACACAGAAAAAGAGTAGTGTTTATAATAAAAAAAGCTAAATCTTAAGCTCATTTGCATATTATAGATGTCGTCGTAATTTCTTGCTTAAATTCTTAATTTTAAACTTCTACTAATTTACTATAGGCATTCGCAACGGTCGACTCAATTAGTGATAGAATTTGTATTTATTCAAATGGTAGAGTTTCTGTACAACTAAGTGCTCGTGATGTTATAAGCTGTGGTTTTAGCCCAGGGTGTTCTCATGGAAATGAAATAGAAGTTTTAATGTACTGGATTGTAAATGGTATTGTTACCGGTGGGTCATATGAAGATCAAAGTGGCTGCCAACCTTATCCTTTTTCAAAATATCCTGAGTGCAAAGACGTGAATTATGAGTTCCCACTGTGTACGAGCGAATGTCAAGATGGTTATAATAAGACATACGAAGACGATAAGTTTTATGGTAAGAATATTAAACGAGTAATGTTTATCAGCTATATTTTAAGTTTTAAAGAATACACCATTCAAAAAGTGATAAATAATTCACATTTTCCAGTGATCACTTCTTAATTTGGTTTCAGACTTTTATGTATCATTGCGGTTTGGGCGCCTGAGCAGTATCACAGCCCTCACACAAACCGAATGATTTATGTGGCGCATATGTATTTGGTGCCTCATTGTACCAATATCTGTGTTAAAATAAATAAAACATTTAGTCTAGATTTAAACTGAACTGTTTTAAAACCTATGATTTAGATTAGTACAGCTTACAATTGTCACTTAATTATATCCCAGTGAATAGACGGGCGACAATAGTATATTATTATCCATTCAAATATTCATTAATAAGACTAAAACTTATGTGCAAAATAAATGTGACTACAAAATATATACCATCAAATATCTTATTCGTATGTATTGATGTTTACTTTGTTAAGAAGGGTGATAGTTCTTTTTTTGTAGTAATAGTTACGAGTATAATTTTCCTTCACAACCTATGCCACTTATTAACTGATTGTTGTCACTTACAGTTTGTTAACTTGGTCATGTGTCTAAAGGTTACACCGCTTATCATATATACAGTCGTCCTACGTTCAGTGTTAAGTTTTCTTCTGGTTGGATTCTCTCACTGGGGTTTATTGTTGAAGAGTTGTGTACTATTTTTACTAAAATTCTTCTTAAATACCAATTAATATAGACATGTACTGTACCTAATCTAAAGAAATGACACATTAAATTCATTTAAGTTTGACTACTTCTCTATACATGGTTTTCAGATGTTAACAATCCATATAATAGATATTTTTCTACCCAATGTATGGTAGAACTTTTCTATTTGTTATGAATTCCTTGATGATGTTGTTGGAATCATGAGACTGATTATAAGGATTACCAAGCTAACTTTGAATTTGTATTTTGTTAATTGAATGTTTAGCGGCAGTGCTTAGCGAAAAACCTATTAGTTTCTAAATGATAATATTTGTATGTAAATGTCGATTAAAGTTAATCCTTATCATTTACTTAACTAAGACTTATGACCAAGTACTTTCATATTAAACAGTTACAGTTATTACCTCACTAACGCAACATTTTTAGTGAGACAGGACAATTATCAAGATCTATTAATCGTAAATGGTGGGATACAGATAAGTCGGGAATGAAACAATTGTACTCAACAAGAATGGATGATCGTTGCGTTATATCAGAAATTGATTGAAGTTTAAATGGTACCATTAAACGTCGACCAATCAGTTCCAACAGTTAGGCGTGGAACGCTGGTATAAACCGTCAGCTTGATAATAATAAGCGAGTAGATCGACAAGAATAAACTACTAACTATAAACGAAATGACTAAAAGATAAATATACTAAGAGTTAAAAGATGAATCAATTAACACCAGAAAAGAGAATAGTGTAGGAACCACTGCCTATTAACTAGCTAAGATAAAATTAACCTCACTAATTACTTATTAACTGTAGTCAAATTTCAATTTCTTGTCGAGATGAAGTGTGAAACTGTTTTAAAATCTCTCCTCATGAAAAATCAATAATGAAGTAACAAGACCATCCGCAACTTGAAACGACTATTGATCACCATGAAATTGATACATTCACTGCATTAAATATTCAACGATTCGCGTGGGGCGACATTTATTTATTTATTTCAACGCATAGATATTGGTACAAAGAGGCACCAAATACACATGCACCACACAAACCCCACGACGTGCGATGTCCAGTGGTATAGGAGTAGGTTGGAAGAAAGCTAGGGGCGGCCAAACCAAAACATAGCACAAGTCCATGAAGTCACTGACAAGTGGACTGAGTTATGTTGGTAGGTGTAGACTACCTGGTTGGGGACCGCAAGATGATAGCAACCGATGGTTAGAGACCCTGAATGACTTGGCTCAAAATCGTTTGCAATGGCGCAGGTGCATCCACTCTCTGTGTTCTCCCAAATTCTAATCTTCTGAATTATTCATGTCCCTATTTTCTTCTTTCCAAATTTATTTCACTGTATTATACTCTTTAAATAACATCTCTAAACCCTAATCTTCCCGATTACTGCTTATACTCTTATTACCCCTACCACTACGGGATTTGAATCGACAACTGCATCTCTGTGCTAATATGGTGTGGCAACTCGAACTGATGTACGTACGTACGAAGTTCTACGTTGTTACTAACTGACACAAACCCCATTTGATATGTGTGAGGGCTGTGATACTGCCCGGGTGCCCAAAACCATCATCATTTAATAATAATATAATATTCTTATCGTTTTACAAGTGTTAACCAATTGTTTTAGAATCCTAATACTAATAATTACCATATAATGTTTGTTAGGTGAAAATATTTACAATGTTTATGATAATCAAGAGGATATTCAAAAAGAAATTTTGATGAATGGTCCAGTGATAGCAAGTATTTTTGTGAAAACAGATTTTTTGATCTATAAATCAGGAGTTTATTTACCAACACCTAGATCAAGTAATTTAGGTTGGATAAATTTACGAATAATTGGTTGGGGTTATGAAAGAAAAACACCTTATTGGTTATGTGCAAATTCATGGGGTAAAGAATGGGGTGATAATGGATATGTAAAAGTTCAACGTGGAGTACAAGCAGGTTATATTGAATCATATGTAAGAGCACCAATTCCAAAAATATAGACATAAAATTCCATATGTAAATTAAGACTATATAGTTTTGTCTGCTAATTATTAATAATTACTTATGAATTCCTTCTCATTTTTTTTAAACTTACAACGTGCTATGTTCTGCCGTCATCAGATTCAGATATATAAATATCCTTAAGATATATCAGCTACGACATTAACAAAGCGTATTATTAGCTTCATCTAATCATGTGCCTTGTTTATAATTTCATCTTGAACACAGATATTTGATATAACTGGTTTCACCCAGCCTATCACAACGAAATTATTACTTATACTAGTCTAAATCAAAGACCTTTTGTTATAACACCTTAATTGTTCGTGTACATCAAACATGGGTATCATATCACTTCACTCCTTAAAGCTTTTATTTATCATCTACTTCGGAATACAATAAGAACATTACTGTCGCGAATCAAAGTTTTATTTTGTGAGTACATTGAACCACACAATTGTACTGAAATTACGGGTTTGGTTATATGTTGACTGCAACAGTATGTTGGTTTAGAAATTTAAAGCTTGCTCTAAAAATGTACTATTATTAGATTAAAATAATCAGTACGTCTTCATAACCGAACTTTGGAGTACATGTTAAACCATATAGTTTCACAGGAAATCAAGAGGAAAATAATCATTTAGGGTTACCGAAATAGAATGAATGTTAGGTATCCGTGTTTGTGGAAAAAATAGATGTTTGATGATTTGTATTGAATTTTTCAAAACCCAAAAATAGCTGTAGTGTAAAAAAACAACGCAAAAATTTACACAGGATACCTAATATCGAGAGTTGCATTTTTCCAACCTCTCTGAGGATCTAACGGGAAGAGATTGATAAGAGCTAAAGATAAATCAATGATAGCAATAGATCTAGAAAGTAAGAAAAAGCACCATAAGTATCATTAGACACTGTAGCTGACTTTAAATGATCAATTAACAGTTTTACAAGTAGTAACACTCATAATTTAAGCGGTAGTTAGAATAAATTACCCCATCGACGGAAACTTTCATTTTATTTAATATACATACATTCTGGTACAACTGTAGACCAAACGTGTTAGCACCATACAACTAAACAAATAACAGCAGAAATAACGGAGAGTGACTACGATGCATGACGAGATAACCAAAAAGGACATCTTATAACTTAGTGAGTTCCTCTTACTTTATGACGAATCTGAAAAAAACTGCAGCTGAATCCCGCTGATGTCTAATCAGGGTCATGTCCGACAATCCTTCAAGCCAGAGTGGCACAGTCCCAATCACCCCCAAACGTGGAGTCATGCCGAAAGGACATATACTAGCTTTATACAGATACTTTTCATACCATAGTGCCATCATCTGAACCGGCCTTCTATCCACTTTTCTTCATTCATTACAAACATCCAGATATGGTGTACGACATAGAGGTCGCTGGGATGACATTCATTAAGCATGTCAATGCCACCGAAATCGATAGTAACAGCAATTCACTTATCGTTACTACACTCGGACACACATTGCTGAATCTCGGAATTAACATGGTGCTGAGACCGAATGTCAGCGATCCTTAGGATATGACGATCGTCAAACACGGAGAGTCGCCGAGCATCCTCAAATCGGAGAAGTCACGTCTCATAAACATGTAGCAAAGCTGCTCCCAAACAGTACGTTGTAAACCTGATCTTCTACAAACAAACTAAAATCACGATAGCGCCAAAAATGACTCAGATCAGCATAAGCCGCTCTCATTATACGTAGATTGATTTCACTTGTTACGTCATCACAAATACAAACAACTAATTAAGTACATAAACTTTTCAATTAATTTTAACAGGACACAAAAAGTGAGTGTAGGAGCAATTTATATACTTCACTTACGAACACTAACTACAAACTGTGTGTGTAATTCCCATAGTTTGTGTAACAGAGCACAGTAAGACATCATCACGTACTTAAAGTTGGAAAGTCATTCATCAGGAAACTGTATACATAAGGTAAAACTAAAATCGTACTAATTGAAACTTTGAATATATTATATTAGTTTTTAAAATAAATAACGATGAATATACAAGAAACAGATACATGAGATTTATATATTACATTTGTAAAATTACATATTACTGTACAAAAGATATATATATATATATATCATATGGTACAGTAAATACATATCTCTTTCAACGAAAAATCATTTGCTGTTATGTTTTCTTCTCTTCTTTAAAGGTGAACAAACTGATAGAAAATTAGGATTGGATACATTTGTATTAGTTAGAGCAGTATATAATCGATTTATTGAATTGTTCCGTTCATATATTGAAAGACATAATTCATCGACTAAATCACAATAATTGTAAAACAAATGAACAATAACCAATGTCAAATTTAAAAAAATCTCTAAATAGTTAACGATGGTAAGAGTTAAGAATGTAGTTGGTAATTCATGTACACTTTAATCTCTAACCATTGGATTTATACGTTCGAATGTGGTTTAAAACGCAAACACGTATTTACTCATACAATAATAATAAGAAGAAGAATAAAAATAATAATGTAACTTAACTATCAAGTACAAATTCATGTGTCCAGTTTAGTGACGTTACGCGTCTACTACAAAATGAATTAAGTGGAACCAAGTTTAAACCAATCACCTACCTACTACTACTGGTTAACAGATGAGTAATTTAATCGTTAAGCTGTTGTAATTATTTAGATTATTGTATTTTTGATTACTTCTCCGATTACAAATTCCATATACGGATAAATTAAACGTCTGGAAGTAAAGAACTGACGATAGTGAATTTTATCAAATTCACCAGATATTACTTATTACTGATGGAATATTTCCCTAGTTGTATATTATACAATTTGATCATATTTTATGTAGACTTGAAAAGTCTTTGTGTTCTAACTTATGTAGCACATTAAAAAAATAAACTGTAGATACTGTGTTTTTTTGGGAGGAAAATCAGCAAGTTTTGTTTTAAAACAAGCTGACAATTTTACAAAAAATGAAGTATAAGTTCAAGGTAGGAGGAAGGTGTTGAGATAAGTAGGCAGGTTAACACATCACTTACAATTGCTACATATAATATTTTCAACAAACAGATCTTACAGAGAGGTATATCCATTGATAAAGACATTAATTTGAATAACCCCTGTTTTTATGATGGTATAATTATTTTATGGGACGTAAACTATAGATCAGTTTAATGAAAACATTTACCTTTTTATGCTCAACTTTATTTATGATGTTACATTTTAAGTAAATGCACATTCTGAAAATGATAATTGTGTGTCAAATGAAAACTAGTTGACATAATTCAGAAGTCGCTAATACTTTATTTCATAGATTTTAACAAGCAATTAGTGATATAACACACTGTATGGTCGGAAAATATAAATTAAACGATAAAAATAACAGTTAATTACTTAAAACGACATGTAAGTTTATACATATAGAACTCTGAATAGTTTACACATAAACTTAAGTTTTCGCTTTTAGTTAGCTACCTTTAAACGTCTAGATTGATCATGTATTTTTAGTTCACTGAAAATTAATAAATTATTGTTTCATTTAGGATAATTAAAATTCATGACATTGTCTCATATGTTTCTTCTTATAACAATATAAAATTTTATAGACAGTACGGACTATCGCTAACACAATAACTCATCAGTAATAAGAAAACGAATAAATCTAAATTCAAAGTCAGCAGTATAATTGTTAAGTTGATTTGTTTTTCCCTTATTCGATTCTTTTCCCGTATATTTATATACTACTTACTAATATTCAGTAACTAGTTTCAACATTTTATGTGTAGCAGTTCTCACGTTTTCAGTTGTTAACAGTTTTTGTTTTAATTATTGACAATCACTATAAATGCGCTAAACACCTCACAAGTAGAGATTCGTAACCATTTTGTGTAATTGTAATATCGCCTTTTATATAAAATTTACTTTTGATCCGGATTTTCCTCTCTTAACTTCATCTTGTGGTCAGACGCTCTGATAAGATTTTAAAATATTGTTATGGAATTACAACATATTGGGACAAATAATAATGAAGCATTTAAACTGTACAATTGGACTAGTCATTTGCCACGAACAGATAGAAAAGTGACATATATCCGAGGTTCTAAGTCTGCAAAACATTTAATGACCATCAGAAAGTAATGGATACCGATAGATCGTACCGTATGTAATTTCTAATGATGTTCATTTTGTCTGAAATTTACTTTTGTATGAGAAAGTGCCTCAATCTTTTGTAGAAAGAAAACGACTGCAGTTGTACGGTTGATTGATCCGTTATTTTCTATTGTCAATCATAATTGTAACAAAACAGTAGATTCAGTTTTGTGAGCAATTGTTGGTTGACTAAATCAGCTACCGCTGGCGTGGTTGTGTACAAGACTGCCGCTCCTTTTGGAGTACCTATCTGGACTCTGATCATGCTTTGGTCTGCGCCAATCTTGCCTTACTTTTCAGTGGCCAACGAAGTGACCGCCACCAACGGATTGATGTTAGCAAGTTGGTTGCAACTTCTGTTGCTAGTAAGTATCAAACCGAGCTAGTTTCTAGGCTAGCTACCAATCCACCGAAAACTATAGATGAGCATTGGTTGCAATTGCATGACGCCATGAAAATGGCGGGTATAGTCAGTTGTGGGTTTGTGAAACGTCCCGCTTATAAGCACTGGGTTTCTTCAGGCTCCTTACAACTCATTGAAGCCCGTCGGTCTACTCAGGGTGACCGTGAGTTTGACCACAAACGAAGGAAGTTACGTGAGGAAATTGGGCAAAGCTTGCGTAAGGACCGAGAAGCCTGGTGGTCGGAGCGTGCTAATGAGCTGGAAGCAGCAGCTGCATCTGGTAATTACCGGAAGCTCTTCCAACTCATCCGAGCCACTGGCAGCAAGAAGTCTAGTGTGAGCGAAACAATCTGTGAGGATGACGGGATGCCAATCACTAACATCCATCGACGTCTTGGACGATGGGCAGAATTTTTTGAAGGGCAGTTCAACTGGCTTGCTGCTCCGGCAGCATCGGTCAGACTGTCCTGCCACCCCCCATGGCCGGTGACGACTGATCCACCAAATGAGGCGGAAGTCCGCAAGGAACTCCAACTCTTGAAACGCTACAAATCACCTGGCCCAGATGACTTACCTCCGGCTCTTTTTCAAGATAGTGGTGACTTTCTGACTAAGGAACTGACGACGTTGTTTACAAAGGTGTGGGAGCTAGAGAGTGTACCAACGTCATGGAATGAGTCGATAGTTGTCCCTATCTTTAAAAAGGGCTCGTCATTCCTGTAACAACTATCGGGGGATAAGTCTACTTCCGATTGCGTCCAAGCTATTGGCTTCCGTCATACTTCGTAGGTTGTTCAGAACCCGAGAAAGATTGACTCGCGAGGAGCAGGCTGGGTTTCGTTCTGGTCGAGGATGTATTGATCATATCTTCACCCTTCGCCAAATGCTAGAACACCGTCATACTTTTCAAAGGCCAACAATCGTAGTGTTTCTTGACATCAGGGCTGCCTTCGATTCGTTGGATAGGACTGTTCTCTGGGATTGTCTATTGAAGAAGGGTGTGCCTGAGAAGTTTCTTAACATCCTAAAAGCCCTATATACAAACACCTCAGGCAGAGTGAGGGCATACAATCACCTTTCTCCATTGTTCTATTCGAGCAGTGGGGTTAGACAGGGTTGCCCAATCTCACCATTCCTCTTCAACTTTGCCATCGATGACATTCTGGAAACAGCTCTGATGGATGTAAGTAATGGTGGTGTGGATCTGTTGCCTGGATAAAGACTTCTCGACCTTGAGTATGCGGACGATATTGTCTTACTGTGCGATAATGCCCAAGGCATGCAATCCGTAGGTATGGTATGTGCTTTGCACCTTCGAAATGCAAAGTACTTCTACAAGACTGGCAGGATTCTAACCCTGTACTCACTCTGGATGGTGAGCAGATAGGAGTAGTCGAGAAGTTTGTGTATCTGGGTAGCTGTATAAGTGCTGGTGGGGGTGTGAGTGATGAGATCAATGCACGAATAGTGAAAGCCAGAGCGGCTTATGCCAATCTGGGCCATCTATGGCGCCTTCGTGATGTTAGTCTGGCCGTAAAAGGTCGGATCTACAACGCGTCGGTGAGAGCAGTTTTGCTCTATGCTTGTGAAACCTGGCCTCTCCGAGTTGAGGACGTTAGACGACTCTCTGTGTTCGATCATCGCTGTCTCCGAAGGATTGCTGACATTCAGTGGCAACACCATGTCAGTAATGCAGAGGTTCGGCATCGTGTGTTCGGGCACAGAGATGATAATTCAATTGGTGTCACCATCTTGAAACACCGACTTCGGTGGCTTGGACATGTTCTCCGAATGTCGTCCCAGAGAATTCCACGTCGTGCATTATTTGCCGACGCTGGAACTGGTTGGAAGAAGCGGAGAGGTGGTCAGCGCATTACATGGTGTCGTGGTATGAAAGAAAGCTGCAAAGGACTGGCTTGTGTCGGTCCTTCACGACTCCCTGGTTGGCGTCCGAGAGATGGTGCTACACGGTGGCTCGAGACGTTATCAGATATGGCTGAGAATAGAAGCCAGTGTCGATCATGCTGTAACCTTCTTTTACTTTCTTCATAAAACGTGGTTGTATTTTCCTTAACTGAAAGATTTCTTCTGATTGTACCTTTCCGTTCCCCCATTATGACTTTGATTATTACTACACTCCCTTACACCAATCTCTTCATTATTGTTTTTTTTACGTTCCCTTTTTTTTCTTCTTAGATTCTCATTGTTTTGTGTGGCGCATATATATTTGGCGCACTCCTGTACCAATATATATGTGTTCAAATAATAATAATAATAACAATAATAATAATAAATCATAAAGTTAGGCTTTACTAATCGATTAGAATTTTGTGCATCATTTTAACATCCAAACAATGCCCATCAGTCACAATTCTTCACATTCCGGGAGGATGTAAAAAGTCTACTAGAGAGAAGGAAGATAACTTAGATTTTAATACATAGGTGATTAATTTAAGCTTATTGAAAGTACAGATGTGACGGACGGGAAGTTATTGAAAAACACAAATGAAAAAAAGTAGATCTCTCAACAATTGCACTTAACAAAAAAAACCTACGTTAGTATGTAAGAATTTAATCTAGTTTTAAAAATGACAGTGACCTAAGTGAACTGTTCAACTATACTTGATTGTTAAGATTTCGCGGTTTTTAAAATAGGCAGCAACGTCAATATAATGTCACCTTTATCAAAGAAAAGAACTATACAAAAATATCCAAAGTCTATGGTTTTATCTTTTAAATCCCGATTATCAATAAATAATTCATCAATATAAATCATTTAGTATAGCCATAACATGAAAGCGGCTAGCAAATATACCTCATTTTAGAAGAATCCTATTGAAGCTAAGACTCACCTGACTTGACACCATAAACATTTTCCAAAGTTTGATTGATGTGTTTCTTCATATTCTTTATGTTGTCTACAATTGAGTTGATCTTAGCTGTTTCTTGCTCAATTTTTGTTAGACATGTTTTAAGCTGAAATCATGATAAAAAGTTCGGTAGAATATATATGATACATAGACAAATAATTTATATATTGCACACGAAGACCAAGAAAATATGTGGTCTGCTGTCTTCTATGAAATCAAAAGATAGAACACAGTTTACGAATCACTACTGAAGTTTTGCACATCCTTATAAGTTATATATACTACTGAATTAATCTGGGTAAACTATATTAGTTATTAGAAAGGGTTCTCTAAAACACCTTTTTACAATGTCATCTTGTTAAAGAGTAATTCAACCAAGTATATAAAACGTATTTTTAGTAATTTGTGGAAATTAGACAACTTAGTGGATCATATATTTAGTGAGATAGAGCAAAAAACGAATTAAAACCTTATTTCTAAAAGTTAAAAATCATATTTATGAGGAAATTTAGCCGTTACAGGGATAAAGGAAGTCCTAAATATAGGTCCCAAAGTTTTTAGGATTGAGGTATATTTTAAGCAATAAGAACAATAATATCACTTGGGAGGGGCGGTGGTTCAGAACTGTTGCTCAGACCTACATTTACAAACTAGAAACAATGAATAGTTCACTTGTAATGTTTCAGTTGAAGTAGTTAAGACATCTATGACATATATCAAATCAAAACCTAGCATCACAGGTGTTTTTGGGTGTAAGGTGGAAGAGAGATAGAGATAGTCGAATTAAGAGATGGCATCAGCTCATGAAATCACCGAATGTCTGACTGAGTCATGTAGGTAGGTGCAGACTACCGGATTAGGGTCAAAACGATTATCGTAACCAATGGTTGGAGATGTTGGGTGACATGGCTTGTGATCGATTGAAGTGGGACAGATCCACTCACTCTTGGTCTTCCCTTAGATCTTGAGTTTGTAAATTATCATATTGAGTAGATTTCTTCTTTCCTTTCAAATTACATTATCAGTGCTAAATATCTCCTACTGCTACTGATACTATTGTTTCTTATGTCCCCCAAATGCCCTGGTACGGCGGAGGGTGGGGAGTCAGCCTTCCCTCTCAAAATGATCTAAAGTGCATACAACTACTGCCAGAGAAGTCCTACTCACCACCTTCCCGTGACGGGAGTGTTGTTTACGAAATTGAGAGGATAAAAAGCGAATGTCCGGCGCTTTAACCAGATCTCAAACCGATGGTGCACATGGGCTCCAGGATCCTGAGGGAACAAATGGCGTGTGAACCAATCATTGGTCACCGGCCACCATGAGACTGAGTCTTCTGACGATGCTCCACTGCCGTGTGGATTGGACATGTAGGTCAAAGGCTCTGGATGTGGACTTCTAAGAAAACCACCTACTTCGGTTTGGGTACCCCAGCAGTATTACAGTCTACACACAAATCAAGTGACTAGTGTGGCGCATATGTATTCGATGCTCCTTTGTACCAATATTTATGTGTTCAAATAAATAAATAAATAAATAAAATATGCTACTCTTGGATCTATCGATATAGCACGGCAACTTGAACTAATGTACATATGTACCATGTTCTACAATGATCATGACTGACCATTCCGATAATAGGAAACACGAAATAACAACAGATACTCACAAGTTGTAAAATCAATTGGTTATTTGCTATAATAGTATAATGAAGCAATTTATAATTTGGTAACTAAATCAAATTTTTAATCGCAACAGTTCACCTAAATGGCTATTTATACTTAAAACGTATGGTG